TTTATTCCTTTTTTTTAAGCCTTTTTTTTCAAAGTGAAAGCAAAAGAAGTTGCATAATTTTTATGAAGAAAGAGAGAGAGACGTTTAGAGGGGGAGGGGTCCGAAAAGTCAGTTGCGGGCACTATCCCCAAGACTCAAAGAGAGAGAAAATTGCCAACGACGGGGACGTACAAACAACGACGAGCCTGTTGTTATAACTACTCTCCTCTAGCCTTTTCTATAAAATCGTTGATGATAGATTTTCTATCAGATTGTACTTCATGATGACCTTTTACTTTTGATATAGCCTAAAATTTATAAATTTATTTTGATTTTAAAATAAAAAATTTTCCAATGTAGGTATCATAATTCATTTGATTTTCATATATGTTTTGAACTTTAGAGACCACTTAGATAAATATAATTAAGTCTACCTTTATCTTATATTCATATAATTTCTCTTCCAACGTCGTTGCAAAAATAAAAAGACGAGATAAAATACACATCGCATGTTCTTCTTCACCCAAAGACCAGTTTAAATTGAATTTTCTTGCTAGTTCCAAATTGCATTGTTCATCAATATATTCCGGCAAATTTGAAAATAATATCTTCTGTTTCTACGTTTTTAAAATAAAAATTAATAAATTATTCGTATAAAACGTGTCTCAATTAAATCTTTTAAACTGACCAAATTCTCATTTACACTAGCACCGAATAACAATGTAAATAATTCATTCATAAATCCTTCTATTTTTAAAAAGTTTTTATTTAAATTTTCATTGTCCAAATTCGCTTTTCCTTTGTTCAAAATAGATGAATGCATGAACATACCTTTTGATTGCAAAAATGAGAAGCTATTGAATGTTTTATTCGTCTGTCTGAAATTAGCTATTTTCTAGATATACAGAAGGGTGGACATATTTTATTAGCAATATAAGCGTAATAAATATAGCTGATAAATCAGTGTCAGAATCAGTGTCCGAAAAGTCCTGTTGGCCGTAACCTAATCCAGATATACGGATATTTCTCAGGATTAGCCAACCATAATTTTTATTGGTTAAAAAAATAGTACAATGTTCTATCTGATTAATAATGATTCAGAATTCTCTGAGCATGAATATATTCACATTTCATGTGATTTCAATTGGAAATCGGTATGAGAATTCTAAGTTATTCTCAGATTCTCTCTATGTAAGTATTGCATACATACTACAATTTTATTTTAGTGATAATTAAATAAATGCTTAACTCGCGCAATATATTTTGTTCATTCGGATTAAGTGTTTTAAAATTTATTCCTTCAAATTTACTTTTTAATTCTCTTTCATGCCATTTTTCATAATAACCAACAATAAAATCCGACTTAATTAAAGCCTCAAAATTTGTGTATTTATTAAATTCATAGATTGTTTTGATTATGTTTGATGCTTCGTCCAATGTTAGAACTTAAATATTTAAATATTTCCACCGATACCTCAAATCCTTATTTATTACGCAAAAAATTTTATGAGAAAATTCTTACACGAGATTTTCTGGACATTTACCGTTAAAACTTAATATGTTTATAAATCTAAATATTATTTTCTCTAGTGTTCATAAAATATACGCACCGCACTAGAATCTAAGCTGTAACATTACTTACATAAGCTTTTATGCGAAACTTTGTTAGGATTATCTAAGGATTTATATTAGTCAAAGTTAGCCAACCTAGTATTATTTAAAGTTAATACTAGAGTTGTATCCCGACCCGATATCCCATGAAACCAAAGTTAATCTCTCAAAATCCACTTAATCCCTCCAAATCCACTTATATCCCCAGATATCACCTTAATGCATTTAAATCCCAATTAATCCCTAAAAACCCCTTATATCATCTCTAATTCCTCCATCTCCCCCTTAATTTTTGAATAAAATACCTGGTTTTTTATTGCCAGATATATCGGTTATTTTATGTCGTTTCGGAGATGGCTCAATGTAATTATGATCTCCTTGCATGCCTTCAACATTATCATATAAATATAAAAATACCAAGTTTAATATAACAAAATACATTTTTAATATGTTTTACTGGTTTATATCTTCATTTTATTTGTTTACTATTTCAATATTAACTAATTAGTAAATAAAAGTTGCAAATGTTAAAACAAATTTTGTGCATAAAATTGCGTTTTTAAAAATGTTTATATTTTTAAATAAGGGATTGTGTTTTTCAAATAAGGGATTAAATAAGGGATTGTTCCAAATTTCTAAATATTTTAGCTTGCGGAGCAAAAAACTGGCTCCTTTAACATTATAATTTATCAAAATTTCGAAAAAAAGAAGTGAAGAAATAATGTGAAATGAGATTTAGAGATCGGATAAACGGCAAAATCAAATATTTGAACAAATAATTTGAAAAAATTTGATAGAAAAAGTCAAATATTTGATCAATTAAAATCAAATAAAATTTGAACAAATATTTGATTTTATTTTTTTCACATATATACAATTCACATATATTTTTATTTATTTTTATAATTAAGGGGCTAATAAATGTAAAAAATAACAAAGTGCATGCCTTTGAATGGAGAATAACGCTCTTTATTAAAAATAAAATAAACAAACTAAAAATATTAGATTTCTTAATTATTATACATAGAAAAAGAATTGACTAAGCATTTCAAAATGATTTTCAAAATATTTACAGGGGCATTTGTTTATGATTAAAAAATATCAAATTATTAGAGCTGTCCGAGACTCTTGGTCTTGGTCTTGGAACCAAGACTTTTCTTGGTTTTTTTTCGGTCTTGGTCTTGGAGTGTTTGTCTTGGTCTTGTCTTGGTTTTATTTTTTGGTCTTGGTTTTTTGGCCTTTTTGGACCTAGTGCTTGGCCATCCTCAAAATTTTCGCCTGCGGCGCAGAAAATGGAAAAAATCTGGCTTCTTGAGTCCCAATATTCAAAAAATTTTCGCCTGCGGCGCTGAAAAAGTGAATTTTTTTGGCATACGGTCTTCCAAAATTCTCAAAATTTTTGCCTGCGGCGCAGGAAATGGAAGATTTTTGGCTTATCGGCCTTCATAATTCCCAAAGTTTTCGCATGCGGCGCTGGAAAATGAAGAATTCTGGCTTCTTGGCCTTCCAAAATTGTACAAATTTTCGCATGCGCGCAAAAAGATAGGGATAAAATAGAGGATGTATATCAGCAGCCATCATCACCTGATCACCCTGGTCCTCCAATTTCATACTATTCCTTATGATCCCTCTTAATCCACTTAAATTCCCCTTTAAACCTCGATATCCTCCTTAATCCAAGGGCGTAGCCAGGGGGTCGATTTCGAATGGGGGGAGGGGGGGGGGGGTAACGTTGGGTATCGCCAAAATTTTGGCATTACCTTGGCGTTCCAGACGTAAAATCCCCTGACATCCCTCATAATTCACTAAATCCCACGGCAATCCCTCTTAATCCTTTGATATCACTAATATCCCGTTAATCCACCCAAACCTATTTTATTGATTTTACACACGAATAAATTCCCCGAAATTCTTTGAATTTCGCATAAATTCGAAATTGTAGATAATTGACTGAAGTTGACTTGATCGTATCAAAATAACAAAAAATAAACCAAAAATTTGACCTATGGGATTTAAAAATTTGGTCTTGATTTTTGGTCTTGAGTCTTGGAGTTTTGGTCTTGGTCTTGAGTCTTGGTCTTGGAAAAAATTTTGTCTTGGGTCTTGAGTCTTGGAAAAATTTCGGTCTCGGACAGCTCTACAAATTATCGTCTTATGCAATGAGCGGCAAGTTCGGCGTCAATTTTGTTTTTATGCTAACTCGCCTCAGCTTCTACGAAAATTTGAAACATTTAAACAATTTGTATTTTCTGCTATTGAGACCCCGTATCTATTAGAAAGGCCGTATAGAATAAAGTTTCCCTATGATGCTACGTCTACATAAAAAACGCTAGCGTTTTGCGGAAAACGCTGGCGGAAAAAACGCTGGCGGAAAACGCTAAAAAGTGTCTACATAAAAACAGCGTTTTCTGCCTAGCGGAAAAACGCATTGCGGAAAACGCTGTTTTTATGTAGACACACATCAGCGTTTTCCGCCGGCGTTTTTTCCGCCAGCGTTTTCCGCAAAACGCTAGCGTTTTTTATGTAGACACTCGACTTTTTTGATATAAATATTAAAATGAAATTTTTATCAAAAATTTTTATCAAACAATTACTAAATTTAAACCATTTTTTCTTGCCATGCAACTGATCCAATATCACTATTAAAATAATTCATTAAATTTTCTCTCATCATCTTTGCTTCAACGGGCCAATTTCTTGCATGATTTTGAATTTGTTGAGTTGATGGAAGGGGTTCTGAACCAGATAATAAGTTGCGCCATTCACCATTTTCTAAATCTCGATAAACTTCTGTTTCATGATCAACCATCGAAAGTATTTTATTTGTTGTTGATTCATCAATTAAAAAATTATGTAATACAATAATAGCACGAATAATCCAGTTTGCCGATTCAATGTTTGTTTCAATGGGTTTTAAAAGAATTCGCCATTTTACACACATTATTCCAAAAACATTCTCAATAACCCTTCTAGCTCTTGAAATCCTATTTAAAATTTAAATAATTTAATTTTACAAAATAAACCTGTAATTGTAAATCCGTTGCTGATGTGAAAGTGCATTGCCAGCAAAAGGTTTCATAATGTTCAAAGAAAGTGGAAAAGCCGCATCAGCAACAATGAAATAATTTATTTTGTCAGAATCAGGCAAGCCTGGTAAATGGGTTGGTTCAGGAATATTCAACAAATTATCATTCAATTTTGCTTTCAATGAAGACGAAGAAAAAACATTGGCATCACCTTTATATCCATACTCACCAACGTCAACATAGAGAATTCGATAACTAAATATCAATTGTAAAAATATTATAAATTTAAAAAAAAACCGATAATCACACAGAGCAAGCATATTTAAAGAAAAATTATGCTTATAATCATGATACAAGCTTCCAGAATTATTGGGTTTACGAACTCTAACCAATTTTCCATCCAACGCTCCTAAATTTAATTAAAATATTAAATTGTTTTTATATTTCTCACAAACCAATACACAAAGGCATGTTCCATCTTTTTTCAAACCCATTAGCAATATTTTTCCATTCTTCATTTGATTCAACAATACAATTATCAACAGCGTCATCCTTGTCTGTATCAGAAAGCCGTCGACGTTTTGAAGGCAATTTTTGAGTAAAAATTTTTTCATTTTCATCATCACTTGAACTCATTGAAATAGTACAATTTAATAAATCTTTAACATCGTTTGGAATAGACATTGTTTGAATTGAATCAATCCGACTATAAATTTATAAATATAATATAAAATAAAATATAACCTTGAACAATTTTCTTTTTCTTCTTCCAAAAAAGACATTGAATTTAAATAAGGCCATTTAACATCTTTACCATCAGAACCAGAAGCTTTTGGTTTCTTTAATTTGGAGTAATAATCACAAAGATGTTTCCATTTCTGTTTGGCAGATTTAACATCTGTAAAATTTAGCAAAAATTTAAAAATAAAATAAAAATAAAACCATCAAATCCACTTTGTTCAGCAATCGATAACCAAATTTTATCATTTTTGTTTTTGTCTTTATGCTCGCTGTGCCCTTTACGCCAAATTATTTCATTCTGTTGTATCATCTCAATAAATAAATTCATATCAATTTTGGTTGACATTTAAAAAAATATTTTTTTATCTAAAAAGAAGAAAAAATTATTTAGATAAATTATTTTAGAGTTAAAATACAATTTTTAAAAATTACTACCCTTCAAAAGGGTCCCCCCTTTTCAATTTTACAAAAAAATTAACAAAAAGTATACCTTTTTCAAAAAAAAAATTTGTGATAAAATTTCAAACTTAAAAATAAAAACTTATATCAATCGATAGATAAAAGTTTAAATTTCAATAATCTTTTTAAATTTTTAAAATTGGTCCAATATTGATCGAGAAATTAATTTTTCAATTTTATCAAAAATTTTCCGCAAAAAAATATCAAACAGTTTTGATATTAAAATTCTTCCGCCGGCGGAAAAAACGCAGCGGAAAACGCAATTTATGTAGACACTCAAACTGCCGAAAAAACGCTAGCGTTTTTTCCGCCGGCGGAAAACGCAATTTATGTAAACACTCAAACTGCGGAAAAAACGCTAGCGTTTTTTCGGCAGCGGAAAACGCAGCATATGTAGACACTCTCAATTTGCCGAAAAAACGCCGGCGTTTTTTCTCTCTCACTTTTCCATACTATTTTCTGCGGAAAACGCGCGCGTTTTTTTATGTAGACGTAGCATGAGAGAGAATCGGAAAATAAAGCGTCGCGCTCAAGTTGAAGTGCTGTTTCTATTTGCCAGCCAAATCTAATAATTTACTTTAAATATATCTAGCCTGTTATATAATAATTAGATTTTTGTTTACTTAATCAAGGTTAGGGATTCCGGGAACTCTTCTGATATCCGAATCCGATATATGGACAACGGCGATAAGTCGAAGATTTATTTGGTCCTATTCTAGTAAAAACTCATTAAATCCCACTTTTTTATTTATAAATTTCCATAATGTTTCAATTTTCATAAAATTTTAGAAGTGCTATGCTAAAATAAATTGAGAAACTAATAATCTGCCTTCCATGATATAATGCTTAATTATATAAAATAAAGCTTTAGTTAAATTTAAAATAAATAATTTTATTAACGTTAATTAGACTCGTCGGCAAAGCTAAATTTAAAATCAATATAACAGGCAATAAATAAATTTAAATGCGTGGACAACTCGTGAGGAAAATTGACTGAAAATTTTAATTCGATAATTAAATATATATTTTTAAATTAAAATAGAAATTGTAAAAGTTTTACATTAGAAATTATTAAGACATGTGTGGGAACCTCGATCCTTACTGCCATGAAGGAGGATTTTCCAATCCCATTTCCAAACTCACAATTTATACCTTACATTACTATCAATATCCTAATAGTTTGAGAGTTAAACACTTAATTAATTTAATTATTATTTAATTAAAAGTAAATTTAATTAAAACCCTATTTATGTTAATGGACCATTTGTGACAGGCAAATAGTCCATAAATGGCAGTTTCTTGCTTTGCAATGAAGTTTTCGCAATATTTTGTCGTTGAAATGAAAAATTTTAAAAAATTTGATTAACATTCAACAGAAATATAGAATTGAAATCTAGAAATAGAAATATTTATTTTATTTTAAGGTTTATTTGTTTTTAAGCTTATTTTATTTATAAGTTTTAGGTAAGTCTGCCCATTTTTATTCATTTATTAAGTAAGAACGAGGAAATGGAACCGGAAATTAACATCACTTAATTAATCAATAAAAATTTGAACTAATTAATTTAATAATTTATAACGTGATTCACACTTTAACATACTAACTAGTAAATATTTGACCGTCTAGTTCCAATTATAGTATTAATATTTAAAAATTATTTATTCAAAAAAATGAATTTTTATTCGTTGATATTAATTCAATTAACAATCATTAACTTATTAAACTGCTTAACAGAGATTGAAGGTAAGACAAGCATCTTGGCAACTAAAAATACAACAGCAAAAACAAATATCACCAAAACTATAAAAAAGTTTCGACCAGAAAAACGCACAAAAATTATGTTATTTAATACAACAAAAAAGCCAAAAGAAAGTTTCGAAACTTCAAATAAAACTTTGATTATCAAACAAAAATTAAATAATATTACAAAAAGTACAATTCACCCTGGAATGAGAAATAAAACAATTATTGCTAATAATAAAATTAGTAATGGAACCAAAAATATGAATTTAAATAAAACTTCAAAGAAAACACAACTAACAAATAGAATGGTGAATATAACTGTTAGAATGAGTTCAAATGTAGGTAAACTAAGATATAGAGTTAAAACTTTTAACTCTTTATCTAATTTAATTTAAAAAAGGTTTTTTATCGCCAAAAGAAAAAAATTTTTTGGCCGAAAAAACTCGGCAAAAAATTAGCGGTGTTACGACAATTGCGGATACGCACGTGCGGATGCGACAATTGCGGATTAAAATTTTTTTTAATTTTAAAAATGATTGAAATGATGTTCTGTTTTTTAGTCCCGGCTGTCAGTTTCCGACTTCTGACGGTTTCCGAATCATTTTTAGACTAATGTGGCACTTAAAACTTTAAAAAATCTTAAACTTTTTAAAAATTTTATATCCGCAATCGTCGCATCCGCACGTGCGTATCCGCAATTGTCGTACCGCCAAATTAGCTGGAAAAAAAATTAATTTAAAAAAATTAACTAAAAAATTCAATTAATTTCCCTTCAATCTTACTCGACTTTATATTTTAAAAATAAACATATGTATTTGATGATTAAGTTTAAAAAACAGGGGAAGGGATTAACGGGGTAAAACTAAAATAAATTAATCTGATTTTGTCTATTATAATTAGAGTTGATCAAAACGATACTGGTATCGGCCAACCCGAGACCGAGATTGACCGATACTCAAGAACCCGATACCGAGACCGATACCATCATTTTGAGCCGAGACCGATACCGAGAAACGATACTGACCGATACTAACAGAAATTTTTATTTTATGTCAAAAAATACGTGTAAAAATAATTTATTCATTATTTTCATCATCCAAATCATCAGATAAACGCTCTTCATCATCTGGATCCAATCAGGCTTGCCAATGGATACAAATTTTGTGTCCGTATCCAAATAGGTATATCCTTGAGGTCGGCATCAGTATCCGTTTATATCCGTACAACTTTTGAGGCATATTCATCCGCGGGTATCCGTGGATGGTCGAAATGAAAATTTCGGTTAACCAAACCATTGATTTCAGCGCCGCAGGCAAAAATTTTGAGAATTTTAGAAGGGCAAGTCAACAGATTTTTTCCAATTTTTAGCGCCGCAGGCGAAAATTTGTAGTTTTGGAACAATAAGAAGCCAGAATTCTTCCTATTTTCAGCGCCGCAGACAAAAATTTGAGATTTTGGAAGGCCGTGAAACCAGATTTCTTCCAATTTTTGCCCTCAGATACGCAAAACTCAATGTGCTCATCCATGCTTCCGATAAATTAAATCCCCTTAATCCACTGGTGTGAACTACAGTTGCCGAAAATCGGAAGGTCTGTAAGCAAAATCTTGAAAATCCAACTGCTGAGGGCTCGGAAAATTCAACATTTTAGCGCCGCAGTCGAAAATTTATAAGTTTTGGAAGGCCAAGTCACCAAATTTCTTCCTTTTTCAGCGCCGCAGGCGAAATTTTTTTGAATTTTAGAAGACCTTATTCGAAAATAAATCACTTTCTCTGTTATGGACGGATATCCGAAAAAATTATGGACGAAAACTTGGATAATATTGAGAATTTTGTTTCTTTGAGTCAGTATCGTTTCTCGCCGAGAAATGGACCGAGAATATCGGTATCGGTTTCGAGACCGAGAATGAAAAAACCGAGACCGATATTGGAAAAAAGCCGAGACTCTCGGTATCGGTCTCGGTATCGGTCTCGTCTTGATCAACTCTAATTATAATTCCAAATATTAAAAAATATTTTGAAAAAAATTTAAATAGCATTGAATATTAACAAACAGTAATTAAGGCTTCAAACACAACAACTATAAAGCCAACAACAAAAGTGCATGAAAATAGAACCCAAACTAAAAGCAACAAGATTAGAGAGGTATTTTTTATGATCGGGTCTTGATAACTCATGAATACTTTTATAATTTTTAAGGAAAAGAAAAATATCACAGGAAGTTTTGAAAGAATTGAGGACAAAAATATTAATGAAAGACAAAATTTATACACAAATATGGACAATGAAAATGAAACAATGACTGATTATTACGATTATTATAATGAGACAGATTAAATAGCTAGTCAAACTTTTTTTGTTGCAAAAAATTTTACAAAGAAAATTGAGGAAATTATTTACAAGTAAGGATTTTGGATTTTTTTAAATTTTGGGAAAATTTTTTAAATAAAGGAGAAAATTGAGAGTAATAAAGTAAATTAAAAATAAAGTTAACTGTATTTTAGTCAATTTTTGTTAACGGATATATTTTACGGGCTTTTAGTAAGATAGAACACAAGAACCCGACTTTTTATCTAATTTGTAAAAAAATATTTAATCAGTCAAGAGATCAATGAATCAAATATGGAGATTTACGAGGAAGAATTGCAGGCAGAGGGAAATGATGAAAGGCTGGAGGAAGTTAATTTGGTTAAA